GAAATAAAAAAAACAATTGAGAGTCGTTATTTTGATTTTTTTCAGTAAAATAACATTTTTTTAAGTGGAAACCCCTGTATATTATATTTTTTTATGTTAAAGCATCAAATTTTAAACAAAAAAGCTTACAATAACTTTTCTCCTAGGTTACAAATTGTTGAAGTTATGGCCTCCAATCTGAAACAATTAAATTGTATCGACAAACTTTATTTTCAACATCAACTTATAATCTTACAAAATACAATAACAATTTTTTTTAAAGAAGATGCTCGAAAACACCACCTTGTTCTTCAATACATTTTTGGGCACGTTTTTCAACTGCTCGAACTGTCTTAAGTATGGTCCTACCATCTATCTGGGTTATCTTTTCCCTAACTGCAGTCTTTAACGCGTCAAGGTTATCGTACCTTCGCTTGTAAATTTGGTTCTTTAAGTAACCCCACAAGAAGTAATCAAGTGGGTTTAGATCTGGTGATCTGGGAGGCCACTGTATTGGGCCATTTGTTCCTATCCACTGATCATTAAAAGTAGTACTTAGAAAATGATAAGTACCTCTGGAGTTGTGGGCAGGTGCGCCATCTTGCTGAAAATGCAGATGATGTCTACTTATAAGATCCAATTCGTCTAAGAAATTAGTCAGAATTTCTGACATAAATTCCACATATCTTTCACCAGTTAGGGTTCCCTCATAAAAGAACGGGCCAACAATTTTTGAACCAATTATACCGCACCAAACGTTGAAACTGAAACGGACTTGTGGGCCTCTTGGATGTACTAACAAAAGATTTTCTCTTGACCAATAATGGTGGTTTTTTCTATTAAACATTCCAGAATTTGAAAAATTTGATTCATCTGTCCATAAAAGGTAACGAAAGTTATTTACATTTTGGCGACAGAAGCTAAGATACCAATGGCAAAAAACAAGTCTTCTCTCTGGATCCCCTGCCAAAAGCGTTTGAACTGGTCGGTACTTATACGGAATAAATTTGTATTTTTTTAAAATCCTTTGAACAGTACCATAACTGAAATTAGAGTCCTTGAGAATATCTGCTATTGAATTCTCACGATAAGCTTCAAAATATCCAATAACTGCAATTTCCGTGGCCTCGCTTATTATGAATTCTTTTTTTGCCCTTGTTTTAGCAAAAACATTTTCGTTGCCCCTAAATTTTCGATAAAGTCTCAGAAAATATCGTTCATACGGTTGAATGCGAGCGGGATATAATTCACTCTTGCTCTCAAGGAGGATTTTCTGCACACTAAATAGCATTCTAACATATCACACATTTCTTCATGGGAGAACATTTTTCTTTAAATTAATGACACAATAAAGCTTATAAACAAGTATTTACACTAATGTTTGACATTATTTGATTTTATCATTGTTTTCCAAAGCCTTCTAGTTGCGAGTATGTCCAGTTTAACAATTTGTCGCTTATCTTAATGCTGTCAAATCGCGAACGCCATGTTGTTTTCATAGCCGTCTTAATATTATAATACTGCAAATAATTAAAAATATTTATCGTTATTTTGACTTTATTTTTGACTTTAGCGGAAAAGTCATTATGAACTTTTTTGTTTAAAATTTGATGCTTTAACAGAAAAAAATATAATATACAGGGGTTTCCATTTAAAAAAATGTTATTTTACTGAAAAAAATCAAAATAACGACTCTCAATTGTTTTTTTTTATTTCTCATTTTTACCAGCGTTAAAAATGCTACTAGTTTGCTAATTCAAACAACTTTGTATTTTCACTAATAACAAAGTTACTAATGGTGGATACTTAATTTGGATAACCCTGTATATATATTTTATTTTTAAACCACTTTTTGCGTTTGGTATGGAAAACGAAATTAAGATTTCATTCGCGATGATGCAAACTGACCCAAAAGCAAAATCGGAGCAGGATTTCCAGACGTAGCATGTACAAGACAAATAACTAACAAGCATTTGACTCAAATGGACGACACTATCATTCTGTCCACCTCATAAAATCATTCATGTTCAGCGAGAGACAAATGTAATCTTTCAGATTCGTTGTAGAGACAAACACGTACAAGCCGTATATCAGTTGGTTTTGCATAAGGTCTAGAAAACGCATATTCAGAAAGTGCAATCCGGACACGGCAGAACAAGTACCGGCGTACAAATAATAACAATGGATTTTATGTATTTTTTACACCGAATGGAAGCAAAGGCAGGTATCGGCCTAGATCCTTAATTTGGGATGGGTTGGAGATGAGCAAATTTCCAGTTTGTTGGGAAAGTGATGGATTCGTAAGGTATATGGAAGAAACGCGAAAGAACTGGAGCGGGGTGCGAGCAGGGAACACCATGCCTGAGTCTCCAAAAAATTGGAAGACCAATACAGATCCAAGAGTACGATATCGTTTTAATAGAAAAGGAATGGTTTTGAATATTGAAAGAAACTTAACTGCCCCAAATACTCTCAAGCGTAGCTCCTTCGTGCCAATAGAAAAATAATTATTTTAGATGACGAAATTTGCTGATAAAACCCTTGTCTGGTGCGTAATTTCTAACAGGCGTGTATCCCAACCTTTTGTGGGAAGAGTGACGGGTGAAGCTTTGAATAGTCGGAGCTATGTTTGGATGTTTTCAATGCCATTATGACTCTAAAAAATAAAAAAAGCCCTGGAGTTGACGAAATTAGAGCTGAACATCTAAAGATACTGGCCAAACAAATAACAGAACCACTTGCTTATATCATTAACAAATCCTTCCAATCTGGAGTATTTCCATCAGCTTTCAAGACAGCAATCATCATACCTATCTATAAATCTAATGATAATACGGACGTCACTAACTATCGACCTATTTCACTTATATCAAGTTTAGCTAAAGTTTTTGAGAAATTACTCCTTAATAAAATGATTAATTTTCTTAATAAATTCAAAATTCTAAATTCAAATCAATATGGTTTTATAGCGGGCAAATCTACAACAGATGGGGTATTAAGTATAGTAGATGAAATAACCCAAAATATAGATGGAAAAGTACCATCGATATGCGTATTTGTGGACTTGCAAAAAGCGTTTGACACAGTTAACCACAATATACTTTTGGAAATCTTAGAAAGAATAGGTTTTCGTGGAAAGATGTATACTTTAATGGAAAATTATTTATCAAATAGACCACAATCAGTAAAATTATTAAGCTCGTATAGTAAAGAAATGTTTGTTAAATGTGGTGTTCCACAAGGTACAATTTTGGGTCCTCTGTTATTCAATATTTATTTAAACGATATATTCAAAATTAACAGTACTGGTAAAATAGTCAGTTTTGCAAACGATACTGCTATACTCTATAAAGGTAAGGATTGGAACGACTTAAAAGATATTATCCAAAATGACTTTTGCAAAATTATTCAGTGGTTTAATAACCGAAAATTAACAATTAACTTTACTAAAACTCATTTTTTACCAATTTCATCACTATCTAATCATCTACCAAAATATAACCACCTTCGGTTTAAGCTAAATGATAAAAATATAAAAATCAATAGAGTTAATGATACAAAATATTTAGGAATTTATCTAGATCCCCACTTGAGATGGGATGTACATATTTCTCACATACTAAAGAAACTTAGATTCATAGCATATAAAATAAAATTTCTAACCGGTATATTAACTGAATATTATCTACGAATAATATATCAAGCTTTAGTCGAGCCACACATAACATATGGTATAAGTGTGGGGTGCTGCATGCACGACATACTTTAACGATTTAGATGTACTTCAAAGAAGAATTTTAAAATCAATGTTAAGCAAATCAAAATTATACCCAACTAATGACTTATATAATGATGCACAAGTATATGATACTAAACAACTTTACTTCTTACATACCAGCACTCATTATCACAAAACTATTAGTGAACACGACATAATTAAACATAATCATAAAACCAGATATAAATTACGCGCAAAAAATGTTCCTAAACCAAACAAATCCCTAATGAAACAATGTCACCTGTATATAGCTCCAAAATTGTATGAACATTTACCAAATAATTTAAAACAATTACGCAATACATTAGGCTTCAAAAAAAAATTAAAAAAATTTATTAAAACGATTGGGAGAAATCAAATTAATAAAATAATCTCAAATATTACACAATAAATGCTCTACCATTCTTACCAATAATTTCTTTTTTCTCTCTATTTTATTATACTTTGCAATTCAACATACATATGATCCATGCACAGGCGTTGTCCTCCTATGGATATATTATATTTATTTACTCGTTTCATGTTCCCTGTATTTTAGAGTAAATAAATATTATTATTATTATTATATTGATAACTGCCTTTCCAAATTGCTTTTGTCCACGAACACCAACATGTTTTGGCCAGAGCTAGCATCATGCCATTACTCAAGAGGTACCCAAAACTGGTTTCGACAAGTTGACATACATTTTGTTCCCAAAAACGATAATTCTCCAAACTCGCCACAGATTCGCCCAATAAGGGGTTTTTGGGCTTTACTATCTAGGTTTATCATGGAGGCTGGGAAGGCTAAGATGAAGAACAATTAAGACGACGAATTTACGAAAAACTGAGAGAAATTGACCTGAATTCCGACCAGGATCTCATGAGAGACGTTCTCTCTAACTGAAAGTATGGATCTCGAGATGTCGATTCCTTATATAATTGTTTCAGTGACAATGTGAATAAAAGTATTAACGAGATTGCTCCTTTAGAACAACAAAGCACCAATTATAAGTCATGGATTGATGGTGAGGTCAAAAGAGCACAACGGGAAAGGGATGTACAATACCATATTTTCAAATTTACCAACCTGAGGGATGACTTCGAAAGATATAAAGAAAAACGTAACAAAGTTGTTGCTTCTATAAGATCAAAACAAAAGCAGTATTATGAAGAAAAGATTGACAGATGCAAAGGAGACAGCAAACAAATGTGGAGAACCTTGAAAGATCTCGTTAATAACAAACATGTACACATTGATTATATGTCTTTAGAAACTAATGGCTTTGACACTGTACAGAATAAATTGAAGAATTATTTTATCAAGAGTGTTACTGATATAGTAGGCACCATACCTTCAAGTAAAGAGGAAGCTATAACGGCAGCGGTGCCTTTAGAAGAGGAATTTTGGAGGTTTCAAGAAATTTCATTAAATAAGCTACGCAAAACTGTTCTTCAATTGAAGAAAAAAACTACGGGAGATAAAACACTTACATGCAGTTTGGTGAAGCAATTGTTTGATGCAATTGTCTACCCCCTTTTGAATATTGTAAATACATCGCTCAGAACAGGAAAGACGCCTTCGTTGTTGAAGAGGAGGTTGGGGAGGAGGAGGAGGAGGAGGAGGAGGAGCAGTATTATAGTCCCGTACCCAAAACAAGTAATCCACGTAAGCCAGAAGACTTGCGACCCATCAATCTTACGCCAGTCGTCGAGAAAGTTATAGAAATAATAGTGCATGAACAGCTGAGTGAGCATCTACGTGTGAACGATGTTCTTTTTGAGAGGCAACTCGGCTTCAGAAGAAATAATTCTTGTGAAACTGCATGCCAATTTTGTATAAAGTGGAAAAACGATGTAGATGATGGTAAAGTGATTGTGTGTGTGTGTCAATTGACCTAAAAAGAGCGTTTGAAACTATTGACAGGAAATTTTGGTTGAGAAAATGTGAAATATATGGAATTAAGGGTACAGCGGTCTTGTGGGTGGGTGATTATTTATCTGAGCGGTTACAAGTGGTAAAAATTGAAAGTAAAATATCAAGTAATGTTTCTGTAGGAGTACCTCAAGGCAGCGTACTAGGCCCATTGCGCTTTATTCTATATGTCAATGATATGTCGAATGCCTTTAGCAATTCTTTTATGAATTTCTTTGAGGATGATACATTAATTTCAGTTAGTGGTTCAGTAAGTAAGTTAAAAACAAACAAGATTAAATTAAATGTGAGAAAAACGAAATGATTATAGGTTCGAAGAATAATTGCAGGAAATTGGTGGATTTAAATATGCCAGTGAAAATTGAGGGAGAGGTACTTGATTTTGTGGATAGTGTTAAGTATTCAGGTATTATAACAGATCAGCAACTAACTTTCAACAAACATGTTGACTATATTTGTCGTCGAAAATTAGGCAAAAAGATAGGGTAGTTTCGTAGAATTTGTGAGAATCTAAGTCCCTGGTGCAGAAGGGTAGTCTACAATACAATAATTTTTCCCCATTTTACTTATTGTGCATCACTTTTGATTACATGCACAAATGAGCAAAAGCAATATATGCGAACTTTGTTGTAGCAGGTATACCCATATACAGGATATGGTAAAGGCATTAAATTTTTTAAACATACACCAAATTATTCAAGAGGCAAATTTAATTATTTTATATAAAATTATCAATAATCAGGCTCCACCTTATCCTGAACAGTGTCTAAAAAAAAGATGTGAAATGCAAGGTTAAGACATTAGATCAAAAGAAAATTTCCATATACAACGATTTAGATTTAAAGGTTTAGAAAAGTCAATGTTTGTTGAAGGTCTAAAAATGTACAACAATCTGTCTATTAATGTAAAAACATCTAGTAATGCTAAAATTTTCAAAAAGAGACTTCGGAGAGACTATTTTGGTTTGATGTGGCGACCTCTTTGTAAATTTAACATATTTTTGCAAATAATATTTATTATTGTTTGAAGCAGCTTAAAGCTAAATAAATATTTTCTATTCTATATTCTGTTCAAAGAAAGTTGCGTCTGGTAGAGCAAAATGGGTCACTCCGCACAATTCGATAGTATAGTTTAGTTAAGCAATGAGTTGTAACTTGTGATAACTAGTTAGTGCTTGAATAAATTTCTTCATTAAAAACAATCCGATACATATTTTGAGCCAAAACTTCGTTAGGTGTCTATAATTATATTCCTATTGTTATTAGGAATCTGTCTCGATACAATAAAACCTAAACAAACTTAGTGTAGGGAAGCAGTTAAGTGACAAGTTGCTGAAGTTACACTATGAGCAGAACATTGTTCATTAAACTCTGCAGATATATTCAGCTTTTTTCTTGATTCTTGAGAAATCCTCATTTATATAACTTGTCCACGAGTAGTTCCGCTGAACATCGCTGTAGGCCGGTAAAAGGACAGGTAAAACAAAAATCGCATTTCGCACGTTTATCACAGCTGCACGCCTCGTTATACGTGCTTTGAAATTAATGTTAGGAACGCTCGAGGATAGCTAATGTTAAAATAATAACCAGGATTTTGTGAAATGTTTGCGTTAGGCGTGGGATGGTCTACGAAATCATTTTTTGACCATCTCGTCAGCTTGTGTTAAGAAATTGAGCTTGCACGAAAATGTTAATCTAGTGAAAACAACAAGTTTTTAAGAGATCATTAATCATTCTCAGGATGATCCACTAAAAATCAGTAAAGCTCTATTAGAACGGATTATCCAATAAACCAAATGTGCACTTGCATTGATTTGTATAGGCTTTAACTTAATCTATTTGTTAGTACGCGTGGTGGCCCTTAAGTTGTGCAGAACTGCCAAAACTTTTGTCTTAACAGAAAAAACCAGTAGTAGTTTGATCATTATTTATTTTCCGTGTTATCACACAAATAGAAACAATACCGGCCTGCACCCGCAAGACACGGCGTCGAGTCCGTTTTGTACTAAGAAAGCATTATAATCGACCAATTGTGTACTTGTCATTATCGTCGCGACCGCATTATTCATGGGCCGCTTGAAAAGGGTCTGTGCACATATCTCAAAACCAAAATTTGTTCGCGCCCATAGGCCGGAACACCCCAATGAGCTGCATTATTTAATAGTCGAGAACCAACTACAGTATATTCAGATAAGAGATAGACCGGACATAAACAAGACCACGTGATCATCGAACGCTGTAACATTCGGCAGGGACGTATTAAGAGTCACGCAGTACATGTTTTAGATAGTAGATGCTGCTTTGCGTAACTTTGTAGTAAATTAGCACAATTCGATGTGTATACGATTAGTGATGGATATAGGATCATGTGGGGGTGGGGTAAGAAATATATAATGATGTAAATATATATAAGGGTTTCAAAATTTTCGCGTCGATTTCCAGCTTCGGATGCCGCCTGATGTTTGGTGAAATACAGTCGAATATAATCTTAAAATGGCGTTTAAATTAGCCTAAATTAAAAATAATCGTATATCTCTTAAAATTGCTTTTAGAATATTGATTAGTATATTTTTTGATTTCTAGGTAAATATGTAACCAAATTAAAACGTTCAAAACGTAAAAAAATGTGCATGGTTGAACATTGTCAGAAAGTAGATTCTTGAATAGGTTTTGCCAAAATGGGTTCAAAAATGTCAATAATTAATTAAAAAATACAGTAGCTTTATAATTACTTATAACTTACCGAATTTGATGAACGACATCCTTTATTGGAAAGATGAGCTTGATGAGCTTTCATCATCGCTACTGCCTGAAGCACCAACGTCAATAATGAATGGCTCGACTTGTTCCTCTAAAATATTGTCCAGTTCCCACATTCTCTTTTCAACTTTGTCTTTCACGTGCTTAATACAGTTTTACCATTTTTGCGCTGTTATTAATTCTAGTGCTTCTTTGAAAAGTCCTTTGAGGTCACAAAATTTAAAAGTTGTATTGTGCTTAGCTATATAATTTTTAACCTCTGCCCATATGAGCTCAATGGGATTGAGCTCGCAATAGTATGGAGGTAAACGGAGCACAGTTTTATTTTGACTTGCTGCCATTTCGTCAATGGCGTACTTTTGATATTCCGCCTTGTGATCCTTGACAATTCTTAATAATTGTACTTTCAGCATTGCTTCTTCAAAGTTGATATTTTTCGAGCGGAGCCAATTTTGAACATCAACTTTCCTTGAAGCCGTTGTTGGGACCTTCTCCATTCTTCGAGAATGATAAGGCGCATTATCCAACACAATTACTGCGTTTTCCTCTAAGTTCGGTAAAATTTTTGAAAACCACTGTTCAAACGATTCGCCATTCATTTCCTCGTGGTAATCTCCAGTTTTCTTAGACTCAAAGCACCACAGACCGTCAACAACAAATCCATCCTCACTGCCAATATGGCAGATAATGAGCCTTTTCCCTTTACCTGGAAATCGAGATACTAACTGGTGTAGATTTATTTCAATAAGCGAACCTTTTTCATATGTTTTCATCACATTCAGCGAAAAAACATTGAGACATGAGTATCAGATTGCTATAATTGGGATTATTTAGTCATATTGAAAGAAAGAATATTGAACGTCGTATGATTACTCAGCGCTTCACAATTTAATTTAAAGTTATAAACCTTTAAAAAATGAATGATCAGGAACCTGAAATACGCGCAAATATTAATATTAACAAATTATAACTTTATAAAGCTTAAAGTATGAATTAAAATGATTAGAAATATTAGGAACGGTACACAATATAAAACTTAGTAACTTTTTTTAAGTTTATAATATTCGACATATTTTAAGATTATATTAAAAAATTATTGAAATATCGAAAACACATAAAAACATGGCTTAAAAAAGTTCTAACAAATGAAAATGACAATAAAACATCCACGCATTTTATCGAAAGTTATAAAAGTTTTGTTACTTGTAATATGTTTTATCTGCCCCCTGGAATTATTGTTTAGAACCTTGTTCCCAAGGTTTGAAAAACATCCGATTGTTGTCTATTACTCGTATTTACCTGCTGGATTTTTTAATCCGGTGGACAGTCCATCTAGAAAGGCCCTCCTGGATGAAGTTACAGAATCATCAACCCATACTTTACTTGTAGTGTGTCCTGCGTTTACCCACGTTTCATCAAGGTAATAAATCTTCCTGTTTTGATTTCTATATTTCCCAATTTTTGTTAAATAATCCCTCCTCCATAGCACAATTTCTTCTCTATCCAGTAGTAAACTATTACGACCCCGTTTTTTCCATTTGAAATTTAAATGCATCAGTAACGCATGGAAAGTTGATCGTTTGAAATTTGGCAACGTTGTATCACGATTTACCTCCTGCAGTAGTTTATCTATAGTAGGTATTTCATTCCTAAAGAAGAATTCATGCACTTTTCTGCTAATCGCATGCTTATCAGCTTCATCCAATGATTTAACAATACTTTTGCGATGTTTACTGGTCATTGGCTCAGAAAAGGTGTGATTTTTTTTGTATTGTCTTAACACATTAAACACTGATGCGCGACACACCCCAACTTTGTGAGAAACCTTCACAACAATTTCTTTGATGGTTGATGCCTCGTTCTCCTCGCGCTCGATCTTATATATATTCAAAATGACCTCTTTCATTTCTGCACTCAGGTGTCTTTTTTTAGAACGTTTCCTAGGTGGATTACAGGAGTTTACAACTTCATCGGCAGTATCTGTACTACTGGGCATTTTGCGCAAGCAGTTGATAACAATAACAATCAATAACAAGGTATAACAATAACAACGACAAACTCAACAACTTAATAAGATAACAAACAAAAACGTCCAAAGAAATATCAAATTGCAATGATCCACACGACATACGTAACACGTCTGAACCTGAATGTGACTCTGCCTTGATACGACTGCTCTGCCGCTCGGCATAGGCATTTAATTGCGAATTGACCAATGAGGGCTCCTGTTTTACGTCGAGACGGCGGCGTTAGCGTGAAAATCACCCGAACCTTTTGTTTACATCCGGTCTATCTCTTATCTGAATATACTGTATTGTATCGAGGATACAGCAATGCACAACGTCGCACGTC